ACACAGTAAGTCTGGAGCAAGATATAAAGAGGTAACAACCTCTGTCCATTCATTGTAACTAAGTTTCCTTTATACGAGAATATAGAATCAAGGCTTACATATTACGAGAACACACGCAATAGCGACTATAGAGACCTACTGTGAGCATAACTTCCCCAGGAGTATCCATCGTCCTGCTCCTATATAGCCTAGTTAATACAACAATGGTCGTAGAAATGAGAATATACTAAGCCGTATCCGTAGACTTGATGAGGCTTTGGTGGGAATCGATCTCGTTGGGTGGGAGAAATTGATGTGGTGGAGAATATTTAATCATTGCCTCGCGTGTAAAGTTTGTTATGAATATCGTGACCATGACTTGAAGATGTCTATTTACGACAGATAACTTGACAAGGGCGATAAACCACCACATATGACGAGTTTGAGGTAGAGTCAAATATGCTTGGGTGAAGCAGCCGGGTTAGGAAGTCGCTGCCAAGGAGTATCATACATACTTAGCATTTTGTCATAGTTGTGAGCCTAAGGTCTTTCGAGTGAAATCCGAGGCATGAGTGCTCTTGTTGTATACTGAGTCATCTTTTCTGTACTTTTCTTTCGTATTGTATCATACCTAAATAGCTGCATACGCAATTAAAATCTGATGCAAAAAAATAAAGAACCTAGGGCCAAGCGATATGTAGGCAATGGGAGATGTAGCTGAGTCAATGAGTCTCCGGGATAGGGTTTGGACGGTGTTCCACAGAGTGCAATATATGTTCTTGTAAAGTTCTAGGTGGCAAATGAAGATGATACATTCTGTTTGCGGTATAATTAACAGAAGGCTCAGGGGAAGGGTGCTTTTGGCGTAATTTTAGTTAAGAGCACCTGGCAGGAGGGTCGGGGCCCAGTTAGTATATGCCGGGATCTTGAGAGCGTCAGTACGTCGGGAAGTCTTTCTAGACTGCGCTAAATGGCATGTGACCTTGTGAAACGTGTTGTGCGCTGGCACGACGTAAAATAGTAGACAAACAATTGAAGATAATAAATGGGTCAAAAGGGTGACAGGTCTTCTCTACGAAGAGACTCATAGGCAACTAGTTGCGGTAGATGTTGTACGTGGGTCTTGCTGACGAAGAACTGGGAAATGGATAGATGGTCCTCCCAAAGAAGAGCTGGGTAAACAAATGTATTGTAAAGGGCAAGTTAAGAAGACGTTGCGTGAAGAGAAATTCTCTTAAATACTGACCTATTATATATAGAGATAGAAGCATTTGATAGCCTGGATTAAACATGAGTGATACCTGCCTATTTCCTTACATTGATCATACTGTACTAGTCATTCTCCTCATGACTCTCTTTGGTTGTCTCTGAATGTCCCTTTGCATTCCTCATTCCTTGAATAAGCTAAGACGACTTTATCTGCTACAATCCAACACTCATTTGCTTCATGATATTTTAGTTTTAGTTTTAGATTTACTGATCCGTAAAAATGAGTCTCTTTCTATGATCAAGTAGCACTGGCGCAGTCATGTGGAGTGAATGCTAGCACAAGAGACTTGTATATGATATAGCGATATCTTCAAGTTCAGATAGAAGTAACCGACCAAGCAACCAATCGAATATTATCAGGATCAGTATTCATACCATTCTAGTATCATCAGTTACACGATAATATTTCAATAAACCTCTTTGGCACTGTGAAATTTGACTGAGCTTGGCTCTGGGATAATATTTCACTCCCAGGTTCTAAGAGAATATCGCGCACAGGTGTTTGATTTTTGCCCCCCTCTCTCATACTTATCAGTACTTGATTCACAAGGTCATGGACCCTTATCTACCGCTTTCAGCTTTTCAATACTTTGTTTTTTCTAGCGGGTATAAATATCGGCGTGAACGTATATTTGTTGGTTAGCTGAGGCAAAAGACTGAGTCGATGGGTGTTGTGGTTATTGGGATGATGATTTTTAAGCTGTACTTGCAGACTTGGTTATGCTTTAATGGGAAATGATCTTCATTGCAGCGAAAACTTGAAACAGTATGGAGTTTTTAATTATTGCATCATGGGTCAGCTTCTTTGTTATGGCGAAATTTTACTGAACTTGCCCCTTGGAGAATGCCTCACTTCAAGTTACATAGATTCGCACTGTTGACAGATGTCCAGTCTTTATTCTCTATGGCTCTCTTTTGTTAACAACATATGATATATAAATGCACTTACACAATTATGTGGCTCCATTATCTAGGACTCTTTTTGTTCTTTCAAGTAGCACCGTGATAATAAATAAATAAATAATTTATTCAATTTTCCTAATTTGGCGCCTTAAGGCGCATGCAGGTTTCATCAGAATATATATATATACATCAAATGGGATGACTCAATTTGACGTTTAGAACACTCACACTCAGATTTCATTTGCAGGTACCACTCGAGGTTGACCCTTGCGACGTATAACCTCTTCCGTGCATACCCACCATAGGGAAAAGCGTCAAAAACCTATAGGTGTCCGAGGTTGCTTTCTTTCCTTTTTTTCTTTTTTGTTGTTCGTTAAAGTGCTAGGTAAAGTGACTACCGTTGCACTCCTCCTGGAGCTTAAGCACAGGTGGGGCCGGGCTGGATCAGGTTAACTACCGTAAAGTATAAGTGCCTCGTCCCACCTAAATGACCGGACCACCTCAGACTTCACCCATATGTTGAATCATGTCAAACCCAGCCGTCCAGAGAACCCCCTTTTGGCGCGCCGAAGCTCAAATTCCTCCTCAGCATCGGCCACCACGCGCCCGAGCCCTTGACACCTTCGCCATCTGTAACTTTTCCCTCCATTCATTCCCAGCTTTGGCTCATCTTAGCATCTCCTCATCTCATCCAGGGATCGTTTTCTTCACTGGAGACCTCATCCAGTCGCCCACCAAGGCCTCCTCAGTTTGCATTCCATTTTGTTCCCTCATACAAAATCCCTCTCACCTTTAGCCGATCTCGTCATCCTAGAAAGTTTGTTGAATGTCCACCCCTCCAGCCTTGCCCCGTCGCTGCCGTACCCTTAACCGTGGAGGTCGAAAACGCGACTGAGCGCTCAAGACCGAGGCATCGGTGCCCCAGCCTTTGTCGAATGCTCTAATTAGTGTGCCGGCGAAATTTCGCACGTATTTCGTCGGTGGCAACTCGTCGGTGGCAATTCGTCGCAGTTCGAACTGTTGGTGCCCTTGGCCGAGGTGAGGACGCATTTAAGGCCGGTATTTCGACCGTACCTTCACAGCGACTGGCAGTTACGGAGGGTCGGACATGCTCTTGCTTCTTTGATGGCGATTTGGTTTTTGGAGGTATGGGATTCCTTGGGTAGATGGTGAGATGATTGTGGAGATGGCCGCGAGGTGAGTTTAGCTGGGAATGATTTTCCAGAGAAAAAGAAAATAAGATCTTGAAGGTGTCGGTTGTTGTGATACGAACATCAGACAGGTTATAGGCTGTCTGTGGTTCGTATCTGGGGTGTAGATGGTTGACTTCGTTGAGTTGTGCAGTCGTGAAATCTCTTCAAGTCGGATTTTCGACCAAAAATGAGCCAACACCACTCCTCCCGATCGCCAACTCGACGAAAACTCTCAAATTCACCCTTTGTCGTGATTGAATCTCGGCTCTGGGAGAATATTTCACTCCCAGGTTTGTAGAGGGCACCACTGATAGGTGTTCAGCCTTCGTCCTCCTCCGAGGTTGCTTTCATCATCCCAATTGTAAAATTTGATGCGCTAGAGAGTTTGGTGTGTGGACTTTACTAGAATCGAACCGGCTTTCTCCTTTCTCAAATGGGGCAGGCGTCAATGCTACCCAGATTCTACTTGGGAGAGCGGCATAAGTGGTGCACCACTGCACCATCCAGCCTTTCAGGGTTTTAAACCACTTACACAACGTGTCATATGTAGATATCTGAATACACTATGAAAAAAAAGACACCGGGTCCCCTAACCTAAGTTGATCGAGATGTTAAGCCATCTGGGAGATAGCTCTTTGGGATGGACGTGAGAGGGATCAGGATAAGATTACAAGATGATGCGACGGAAAGATTTAGCTTCGAAGGAAGTGAAATTCCGAATTTTGGCAAGCAGTTTTACGAATTGAGCTTTGTGTGCGCCAAGACTTCGCTTGCGAGAGTGTAGCTGTCACTATAAAAAGAAGCCGACGATGGAAGGTGTTCTCTGGTATGGTTTGAGTAGCCTGGGCACCTACTCCACTTGGGAAGGAGACGCCTCAGAACATATTCCGCGCGGAGAAAAATCAGTGGACGACGGAAGCATGTCTAGATAATTCAGGGTTTTTGAGACGTTCCCCTGAGTGGGTATTCACGGATGAGGGTTGACTTGGGGTGAAGAGAAAGCCATCATAACCTCGCAGTGATACTTGTAAATGAAATCCGAGGCATGAGTGCTCCTCTTGTAAATTGAGTCATCTTTTCTGTACTTTTCTTTGATATTGTGTCATAGTTAGAAAGCTGCATACGCAATTAAAATCTGATGCAAAAAAAAAAGATATGTTAAGCCGTCTCAAATTTCGTCTGAATTATCGCTGAAACTCTTCATGATCAAAAAGTCAATAGGGACTTTAATTTATATACTCTCCTATAGCTGAATAGTTGATATCTCAATTATGAGTTGGCATAAGGCTGTCTGTTTCTCAAATTCCGCACTCATTGATGACAAATTATTTCATCCGGCCGATAACAACTATCCCATGCCAGTAAGCAGGGGTATGTGAGGAGGGGCTAGGTAGTAATGCGGAGAATATTCCAATTTTATTCATCCAGCTGCCCGGTGGAATTACCCAGCTAACCACTGATTGGGAAGTGTATTCGGCCCGCTCCGCTGATTCTTTTGTACGTACACAATATTACAAGGCACTCAAATACAACTCTGACTTGAGTCACATTCCGAAACCGGCTGGTACTCCCATCTGGGAGTAACGATCCTAAAATTCCAAGTGGGTACAATTGTCGTACGAAGAATCTCAATGCGTATTTATTTGCCTAGGGAAAATGGCACAGTCTCAAAGTCAGCTCGCCCCACTTCCTCAGGATTTGCCATTTCGCATTATTTCAAAAACAATTGGTAGAGGCGCCTATGCATCGTATGGTACCACATCTCTACCTATGACGGAAATGCTGACTCTATTTGAGTATAAAGAAGGCGATTCCGCCAAATGACACAAGCCCTGTCTTTGCCGTTAAGTTCATCCATAAGGCATATGCAATCCGCCATGGTCGACTTTCGGCAAAACAAATTGCTATGGAGGTCTCTTTACATTCCCATATCGGGAAGCATCCTAATATTATAGAGTGGTTTGCAACTGGGGAAGATGCTACCTGGAAATGGATCGCTATGGAATATGCAGAGGGTGGAGATCTATTCGACAAAATCGAAGCAGATGTTGGTGTCAGCGAAGACATTGCACATTTTTATTTTACTCAGCTGATTAATGGAGTGAGCTACATGCATTCAAAGGGCGTAGGGCATCGGGACATCAAACCAGAAAATATACTTCTTTCGGATAGCGGCAACCTTAAAATTGCCGACTTTGGGCTTGCCACTCTCTTCGAATATAATGGAAAAACAAAACTCAGTACAACGATGTGTGGTAGTCCTCCGTACATTGCACCCGAGGTCATCTCTTGTTCGAGAGATTTACATTCTCGAGCTAGTACAAAAAGTGTGGGCTATGCTGCAAACCTAGTAGATGTTTGGTCTTGTGGCGTAGTCCTTTTCGTGCTTCTAATTGGTAATACACCATGGGATGAACCGACATCACATAGCTGGGAATTCGAGGAGTACCTCGGAAAAAAAGGTCGCACCTCAGATGATCTTTGGCAGAAGCTTCCATCCTCGGTGCTTTCCCTATTACGAGGTATGATGAATGTTGATGTAACGAAACGATTTAATTTCAATTATATCAAAAATCATCCCTGGTACACTCGTAGTAATCCTCTTCTAACTGCTGATGGAAGAATGAGCAATCCTCTAAGTCTTGCTACGCAAATGTTGGAAGAGCTTCACATCGACTTCACTCAAATACCTACAGGATCCAGACACTCAGGCATGAGGGGCAGAGACTCCATTTCCGAACATCGGCACGAGGATGCAACTCGATTCTCTTTCACTCAACCCGAATTACCAGTTACAGATATTGACTTCGACTGGGAACGACCATCACTTCGGAATGCTAATCTCTACAGTGCTAGTCAACCAGCGGATGCCCTGAATACCAACACAAGTACCTTTGAGTATCTGTGTGAAGAGCCTGGTATGAGTCAATTCTCACCAATGCCGACCATCCCAACCTCATTGACACAGCACGCACGACTCTTCAAAGATATTATTCCTGCGCAAGCCCTGACGCGTTTCCTTTCCCATCTACAACGACCGCTTCTCCTTCAAACTCTCGCTTCTGCTCTTCATTCCCTCAACGTTCCTATATCTCCTATTTCGGACACATCCCCAGACCGTGCGCTGTGGATCAAGATCAAGACCTTAGACGGACGTCGCTGCAGTTTACATGGGGATATTGTAGTGGAGATATACCATGGTACTGAATCACAGCTTACAGAGGTACGGTTTGTGAAAATCAAGGGGGATCCATTAGAATGGAGAAGGTTTTTTAAGCATGTTGTGGTGCTCTGTAAGGATGCAGTGTTTATTCCAGGGTACTAATCTTCGCTTGATAAGGTTGCGATTAGAGTTTGACTGTAGATAATTCTATTGGTAAGTTGGATGCGACATCTGACTCATCTTGATATTAAAGGGTTACATATCTAATGAAGATCATTGAACTCCCAACCTAAATCAATCCCTTTAAATCCTTGTCTTGCGCACAACAGAATACTTAATTACTGCTGAAAAAGATTGCTGGCCAGCTAATACTGGATTACCCCAATTATTGCCTATGGTATGTAGGTGATTTTGAGGATAACAGAGAATTGTGAATACGGCGATCTAGCAATATTTAAATTTATCCTAGTCACACTAGTCTTCTAAAAGCAATTTCTAGTTAATGTATGAAGTGATGCCTTCCACTTGATGATAATGTTGGATGTTATTGGTATTTGTTAGCTCTATTACTAGCCAAAGCGTATTCCAGATATTTAAGATCCGCTGTGTTGATGAACTCTAGGCATAGTCCACGGCGATACATTGGAAATAGTCTGTTTTGCGGTTATATCGGCACTGTATCTGATTATCATAACTACAATTTATTTGACACTTGAGAGTGATTTTATAAGTGTAGATCTGCACGCTTTTTCCAGATAAGTGAGGTGTCTTGGACGGCAAGCCAGTCAAACAGCCCGTGTGGCATCGTCCGGAGAAGTTCGGGCAAGAGTTGTACCTGTATAATATGGCTGGGTCGTATATTCTTTTCTTTGTACCATATGACCGAGAAGCCATAATTTATGGTGATACATATCTCACTAGTGGCTTAAAGTTATCTAGTCGTAACATAGGCTGAATCATCTAGAGCAATGGGCTGTCTAATACATGATGTCTAGTCTTGAGATAGAGGCTACACGCGCAACCTGTTTTGCACGGTTCAAGGTGAGGGAGTATGGCGCTAAGTAGGCCGATTCGAAATTATGACTAGTAATTTGCGCCGTCGTTGGACCAATATGGTCGGGGCGGAGCCTGATCATGTATTGGTGGGAGGGTGGAACGCACAAGGTGAAACGAGTTCCGCTGGCTGTCGGTGCCTTCGTGGAGGTAGGTGTCCCAGCGGCGATCGTGGGTCTGCCCCTCAGTCACCTGAACAGTTGGTGGAAGCTTACAGAAACGCTCAGGGTTCTCGCGAAGTTTGCATATGCTGAGGTAGCGGGGTCCGACCCAGGCGTCTATGAGAGCAGCGATGCGATAGAAGCCAGCGGTGTGGCCGCCATGCATGCGGGCCTCAAAACCACAGGTAATGAAGAGGTAGCAGTGAATAAGTTCGTGAAGGAAAACGGAGAGTAGGAGGCGACGATCGTAGCGCTCATCTCGCAAGACGGGGGCGGAGAGGACGACGAGTGTTTCGAAGCCGTCGCGGCCCTGACATTGCCGCAGAGCCGTCGTGCCGATAAGGTCGGTGAGGTAGCGAGGATCCGAGCTCCATTCCCACTGTACTCGGCCCGCTAGGGCGCCGTCGAAGAAAAGAGTATCAGTAGCGGTGAGAATGCTATCAAGCGCCGCGTCATCGAGAGCAAACCCGGAGTCGAGCGGCTCATCGCGGCGAATCAACTTGCGTAGGATACGTTCGTGTGTCGAGTGAGCTGGACGTCGGCGGAAGGCACTTTCGACGCGTGCACAGGCGGCCATGTCCTGCTCTTGGGGCATGGGAAGAGTTGCGGTCGAGACGAGGGCATCAGTGGGTCTGGAGAGAATGGAGTTGCCTGATGGTGTGCGTTCCATGAGTATACTATCATGCAGTGCTGGATCAACTGACGGTCCCGCTAGGCCGTTGGACGGACTGGCGTAAAGACCGGAATAACTTCGTCGCGGAGAGTGACAACGTGTCATTCGTTGGTCATTCGGGCCTCTCCGACATTGTGATTCGGGTCGGGCTCGATCGTGATGGCGGCGGGTTCTGGTGCTGCCAGTGCTACTAGCCGGTCTGCAAGTACGTTCTAGGCTCATACTGCCATGTAGGGATGCGGCCATGGTCAGTCGATAGAAGAGAATAACTGTTCGCTCTGATTCATGTGGCAAGTGCGACCGACTCAGGGCTCGATATAACGAGAAGAAATAAGTCATCAGGATGTCTAGTTCTCTCCAACCTACACCGGTCCCAGCAGCCCCCCTTCCCCCTTCTATCCTTCCGACGCCGCGTTCAAGGGGCGTAACGCGCTTACAATTCTTCGGATATTGGTTGAAAACACTCACCAGACTTCGGCAGAGATGATATGCATGCAATGCATATTAGATTGCCTGCAGTAGCAGAGCAGATTGGAAGGTGTGGTCCACTAATTTCATTTAGCAAACAACCGTCAACTGAAAATTTAAGTAAAATCTCCAATTCGGGCAGACTGAGCACACATATTCTAAACGGGCAGCATCCTGCCCAAAATTCTGCTGTACCTGGCTAGATTACGGGAATGACACTAACATGCTGTCTTGACACGAACTTAATTGCTGTAGACTAAGGAGAAGTCTGACTAGTGTAATCATCCAATATGTAGCCTAGAAAAGGCATAGGCTCATGAATATAATTATGCTATTTAATACAGAACTATGTAGCTATCTTTTACCGACAGGCCAAGCACGTCTAAACCCCAGGTAATGTGCCCCACCCATGAGAAACAAAACCACAGGGCTCCATTCACTTTTGTGCCTGGAGCAGAGGTTAATTCATCGGCATCTTTCCCCTCTAGTCTTCAAAGTAGACATCATCCCACGGGGTGCAGCAGGCTATAGTATCTCTCTTCAGAACATTAGATGTCTTTCTACATGGACGAGCCACTTGTACAAGCACAGTGGACTTTTGTTATATTGGAGTTGGCACAGTATCTCTTTCCTCAACAAGCGACCTTGATGCGTGTCTCAGAACAACTTGGACACGGCGATAAGATGTATGTGTTGAGGCGCGAAGATGGTCTCCGTGACTCGACAAGCTTGGGCCAAGCAGGCTTAGTGATTACAGACGTGGGGTACGTAAAAATGGGTTAGTGGATAAATAGATCAGCACCAAGGAGATGTCATTACCCCCACGAAGCTTAGTTCCTTTTGCCCAAGTGTTCGTCCGAACGGGATGAGCGCCTCAAGCTGCCGGCTTTCATTTCGGTAAGTGATACATTACGCTTTCGAGATACTGGTCATCGCGTGCACGGATTTAAGATGCGAGTTTAGTGTACTGTAGCCTCGGATCACTACGCGTCTTACAACTTGAGATGAAGGGCAGGTCCAATCGGCGTCAACAGGGCCACTCATAGAGTAAGACAAGGCAAACTATTCCGCAATGACAGCCTGGCTTCGGGGCTTGCAGCAGAGCGTTTCGGTATCCGACCAGACAGCAAGCATCATTGTGCTTGGAGTAATACAATGTTTTACCAATGACGGCAAACTGAGCCCAATGACCCCATCATGGTGTCGGGTTAAATATTGCTTGTATGAGCAAATATCGACATAACAATAGGTTCCTAGACGTCCGTTCGCCCACCCGTCGGGTTTTGGGCTCATTATTCTCTTTTCCGTGTCGCTCTAGTGGAAGTTCAAGGTTCTGAAGCATGTTGATGTTGTGTACTGAGAGCAATATTAGATGTAAAAGTTTGGTGGACATCAATTTGTCCAATCTGGTCAGACATCCCCCGACAAAACTACCTGATTGGCCAGACTCAATCACAGCATCCGGCCAAACCGTTAGGAATTCTTCATCTTTCTTCCAGCGTCCTTGAGGCTCAAGACTTCGCATGGGATCGCCATCTAACAATGTCGTACCTGCTGAAGACAGGGCTTCACGTTGATGCATCGCAACAGAACCAGTTCATCAATGCTGCTGGATTGATTGGGGAGGAAAAGTTCCTGGTGTCCTTGAGACACAATGATCAGAAATCCACACATTTATACTCAGATTGGCTGGCTCAGGGTCATGTCACCAACTTCCATTTTCTGCCTTGAAGTTATCCGGCCCATGTCAAGCCCACTTAGACTATGGGTCGTCTGAACGAGTCGTCATGGCAAAAGCTGTTGTAGACATCCACAGGTCTTTTGCCGAGCTAACTTCATACACGGCAGTCCCACAGCCCTAGACCATGAAATTTTTTTGCGATGATTGAGGTGAACCGTTGCATGCATGAAGTTGTAGAAGCGTGAGACAGGGGATTTAAGGTTTGCCAGGGCTTCTATCTGGAAAAAGTCCGAGTCTCGAGCCACAGACCTCTCCTTGTATGACGAGCCCTTCTATGCAAGCTCCACTGAGGCTGCATCATTTTGTGCGTTGCAGATGAAAAGGACATAGTCGTAGCATGGAAGAATGTTTGTTTCTACTCTTGAACGATAACCCGCAGTCCGTCAAGCTGCACATACAAACACTTTACACACTCCTGCTCCCAATAAAACGCTAAGAAACCAAGAGCTAGTAAGTGGGCATCTAACACAACCAGATGAAAATCGAGAAATTTTGGCGAATAATGTTTCATGTGAGCTGGCACAAGATATTTGGTATGCCGCTGCCGGTAAATGTGTTGTTGAGACAACCCTAATAGTTGATTTCTCCGCATGTCACATGATTAATACCTGCAAAAAGAACAGCTTCATCGAAAGTCTCCACATCCCCCGGCACCTCCCGTGGTGCTAAGCGATTCGCCTCTACACTGCAGAAGGCTAAGTTTCTGTCAGAATTCTGCCCATCACGCACCGTGAAATCTAGTAAAGTGAGGCATTCACTGCATAGCGCTCACAGTATCTCAGATAAATAAATTTCAAGGCCTCTCGGCATCCAACTGTATGTAAATGTAAATGTATTTTCTTTTACTTCAGTCACTAAGTCACCCATGTGGTGGGGCAATAGCGTTCGCTTTCGCCCGGTGCACCAGAAAAGTAAAAAAATAACCTCCGCGTCCCTCCCAGTGTATCTCGGGCTCCTGATTCAGCGGAGAGAGTTATTGCATCTTTCAGCTGGATGTGAGCCACAAAATTTTTCGAAAGGGCACAATGACAAGTCTGAATGGAACGGAAACAACAGTTAACGTAAA